ATTAGTTTCTTTTTGTCATTAGTTATATTAGTTAATATTATTAATTTGGTTTTTATATTCATGTCCAAGCTTCTTCTTAGAGTTTCTATTCACAAATGGTCCCTAAACTCTCTTTTACATGCCTGAAATTCTATCTATTTTTTCATGTCTTTTGCTTAATACTAAACTATAGTATTAACATATTTAACCAAATAAAAACCTTCGCTCATAAGTACAAAAGTATCAACTTTAGAATAAAATTGAAACTATTTTAGAATTATATTGAGTAACAATGAGTGAGATGGAAATTTGAACATTTGACTACTTTTTGTACTAACAAAGTATATTTTTTGCGAGTTTAACTATGTATGTATCCAAGCAAATTAGAGTATAGCTCATCGATATAGATATAAGTATTTTTTTAAAGTTGAGAAGTTGAATTCTTGCTTCTCATATTTAACAATAACAAAGTTTGTTGCGTATATTCTTCCATTTCAAAGTTCTAAAAATTATTCCATAGTTGAACCTTGAAAATGTGATTGAATTACGTGTTTGATATTTGTCTAGTGTAAAAGGACTCTGAAATATATTAGAGGCTTTTTCGAGAGATGTTTCGATGAAAAATTGTTTTCGATTTCTTTTTCCAACGAAAATCATTGATTTTTCAACTCAATTGAGGAGTTACTCATGTCATCAATAGTTGAGTTATATTCGGAGTCTACGAAAATTTTCTTTTGATAATTAGAATGCAATGGTTTAGAAGTGTAGGAGCATGCAACCAAAAATTTCAATGGTTAAAAATCAAACGAACTTGAAACAAATGAATCGATTTTGATTGGTTTTTAGGCTATATTTGGCTGTTTTGGTTTCTAAATGAAGGAGACCAAAAATTTTCAGCTTGATTTGGTTGTTTATGTTATAAACTCAAAAAAAGAAAAAAGAAATCACATTGACGTGTACGTAAAAAGAATAAAGTGCGCCATCAAAAGAGGCATACTGCAATCGAATATGAGTTCATAATTGAACTTGACGATTAATTTTACCACATAAAATTACTTAAATTTGTAACAGGTTCACTTATAAACTAGTGGTGGCACATTATGCATTTTAATCACCTTAATTACTCTGGTGAATTATTCAAAAGAAGATTTTTACTGTCAACACGAGCATAGCTCGACGATTATTGACATAGATTCAAAGTTCGATCTCCTATATCTTTAAATTGTTGTACTAAAAAAAATAAATTTTATTATTTGATTAATTGATGAAGTCTATATATTAACATTGCGTTATTAATTTGATGTGAGTGAGACAAAAAGACTCTATACAATATACMTAAAAATCTTTTTTTCCATCAATAATTTAGAAGTTAAAATTTATATATATAGATATATTAAAAAAGGCGTTATAATTAGGTAAAGAAGTAATAAGAACAAGTGTGAATTCAAAAAGAAAAAAAAAAGTGATGTACAATAAAAATTCAAGCTCAAGCATACTAAAATCTTTGATAAGAAAAATAAAGCTYAAGGATAGATCAAAGTTATAATATTCTAGTAATTTATTTATTTAAAGTTAAATTAGAATCGGTTTAATTCTTTCATAAATATATTTGACTTTTTAAAAAACGCAATTGACCATTAATAACTTGATCGATTTTTWTTACGTTAAAAAGGATTATTTGATCATCATTTCAATTTATTCTTTTATGTTTCTTAAAATGAAGTTTTAAATTTTTTATTTTTTTTAAAAGTAGACTAAGAAGTGAAATGAAGTTTTAAAAACATATAAAAAAGGGTCGCTAAGCCAAAATAATTTTTATAAACGGAAAACTAGAAAAAAAAATTATTATTTTTTTATCAAATCCGACTAAATTATTGATTTTTTTAATAAAAAAAAAACTTATTAACAGCTCCACCGACTATTCCTTGACATTTTGGCAAGCTTTGTGCATTAAAAT